CTGCGTGGGTAAATTGGCCGAACTAGACTCCAAACAGAATTAGGAACGGCACGGAATAGACTGTAGGAAGGTGGCTCACATGTCGGCTGTCCGAGAAGCCAAAGCCGTATAAGTGAGGATACGGATATCAGGGCACTTATCCTGCATCCACATATATGCTCCCAACTCACAGCTGAGCTTCTCATCTACCGTGCCGGGTATATGCTTTCGGCAAGCTTGTGGCATCGGGCATCGAAAGATAAGTTTCTTCGATAACTTGCCAAGATTTGCCTCAATAGGTACGCAAATATTGAAGCCGCCTTGGATCCATGTCGACTGCTCGAGGACAGTGTAGCTGAGCTCACTTCCTAATCCAAGGTGATGTTTAGCAATGGCTTCAATCTCTCTTCTCTCCTTCCAAAGTTCCTGCCGGAGCTCTGCTGCTGCAGGACCGTAACCTAGCTGGCGGATGACGTTCGCTTCTACTTTTTCAGCAGATTCGAATGTGATGGGGTTGCGACCGTGGAATTCGAGCGTAGTAGGCATAGCAAAGAGCTGGTTTTGAGAGCCTGTCCTCTATACACGTCACGGAACTTTGTTGAGCATCACAATATAAGCTTTTGGTAGTATCAGCGACAGCCTCGGGATACGGGAAAACTATAATGCCGAACTTAAGACAAGGAGCCTTGTTCACGTCGGCACAGCATTCGCCCGACGCTTCAGCACGTGGTCTACGCGAATCGCCGATGCGTTAAAAGTAGCTCTCTGCCCACGTCCATCCAGCTTCCCCACCGTCTTCCCCACAAAATGCCGTCCCAAGTTCTTGTTCAATTCGAGACAGGAGAATACCTAGACCTAAAGGCAGCGTTTGAAAAACGTCCTAAAGAGGCTCAAGACATTTATACGAAGTAATTCTCTTTGGGAACATTTCAACAAGAGTGCTTTCTTTGCTTAGGGTTGTGAGTATGTTCAGGGTTCGTCTTGAGGAGAATCAAGAACGCAAGCGGAGCAGACAATACGACGTGTACTCGATGCGTGCCGCCAGGGGGCGAATCCTGGATCCATTGAAGAGCGCTTTTACACATATGGACAAGAGTTTGCTATTATCGCGCTCTACATTGCCACGAATAATAACTACAAGGTCTTCAGAGACATTGGCGACCTTGACGCTAAAGATCGAGTCAAGCTCATCAAAGACGTTATTCGCCTCCCCAGGAGCGCTACATAACTAATTTCGTGAATGAACTCAAAAGGTTACCAGTAGTGACCGACCATAAATCTTACCTATTTGCTAGACGCCGGGGGCGAATAAAGGGTAAGTAACTACACCAACATATTTAAGCCTCTACTAATCTTCATAGAAACACAACAGCTTATTCCTCCGCTAGCAAATATACGTTCAGATGCCTCACCGGCCCCTCAACCAGCGAATCAGCCCTCTCCGATCTCTCAGGCAACAAGTCCATTAAATCCTAGATATCATATTATTATATGATATCATGATATATTGTCAGAATTATGGTGTATGATATTGTCAGCATATTACATCTTGCGATATTGTATCACGCCATATATCATGATATTAATATGGTGATATAGCAATATATTACAATACTAACAATATACCTTGCTGTCATCTACTCTCGACCCGTCGTCACTAATTCAATTATCTACCCAAGCTGTGCCTCCTCCCCTGTACCAGGATTTTAGGCACTCTAATGCCTCAACTGACTCAACTCCAAGCCTATTCCTCCTTTCAATAATTGTGAGAGCGGCACTGGAAAATAGGCGTTCAGGCTCGGCAGACATCGCTGGTATTGACAGTATGTCTAATGCCATCACCGCCAGGTTGGGATAGGTTGCATGCTGTGCTGGCTCCATCCACCAGGACTTTGGGTCAACTTCTGGTGTAATACCTGCCAGGCAGTACTTGATATACTCATCAATAACTGGTGGCTGCCGCCTCTTCTGCTCAAGCCAGATTTGATGCTCAGTCTTCTCCTGTACTAGTGTAATGATGTATGACTACAGTATTCCGGCTCGCCCGGAATACGCGTAACATGCTTTATATACCACATGTACTGTAACGGCGGCACCCGTTACAATTATCCCCCCCTATAGTCCGTGACGTCCCGGCACGGATGTAGAGGCTTCTAGCGTATCATCTCGTACTTGCTTCTAGGCCCGTTACTACTCAGGATGCTAAGGTGTGTATATAATAGCTTAAGCCCCCAAGGACGCCCCCTTGTCAGCCAGGTAAGGAATTACACTGATTGCTCGCTTAGCCCACCCAACTAGCGAGCCAATCAAAACCCATTGACCAGTGAGCCGGAATACTCTTGTAATGATGTACGGTTACGCTCGCGCTACATCCCACTGAGCCAAAAAGACTACAGTATTCCGGCTCACCCGGAATATGCGTAACATGCTTTATATACCACATGTACTGTAACGACGGCACCCATTACAACTAGCTCATTTGATGACATTACTAGTTGAGGTGTTGGCTTGTATTGCTCGTCCCAAAATAGCTGCATAGATGCCTTTGCTGTTACTATCCAAGTGCTCTCCCAGTTGTCTTCAATCCAAGTCCATTTTTGAAAGGGTACTAATACCATGGCTACAATATAAGCTGGAGATCGTTCAGTCAGGCTATAGTACTTGTCTAATTTAGACCAGGCTGAATTGATACAAGGGCTAATATGAGAATCGTTGATATACTCAAGTTTGCCAAGTTCAAGCTGCTCAAGTAGAAATTCCATTGTTGAGAGAATATGCTCAATTGTTGCCCTTTGGCCCTCTGTTGCTAGTGTTGCTTGATGAAAGAACTTAAGAAAGTGGTGGATATTTGTTAGTACGACCCAGTCAATTGCCAAGTTTATATGCTCTTGGATAGCGCAGTCGATCATAGCATACCAGGAGTTCTATCGAGTCTTGTTATCTGTAATGGTGGGTGCACCAGATGTGAGAATCTAGCCACCCAAGGAAGGGATGAATTTACTAAGACAACACACTGTCTTAGAAAACAGAGCCAAAGGGTCGTAGCTTAGACTATTCCACAACGCAGCAATCAGGTGTGTGATGTAGTGAAGTGGTTCAGACAAGTTGCAACAAATGTTGAGTCTGGGAACTCAGGGGTAAGTCAGAGGTTAACAGCTCACTGACTTTTCAGAAACAAGGAGTAACAAGATCAATGCTTGGAAGCTTGGAAAAGATGTGGAAGTATGTGATAGTCAATTTACTGTATTGTCTGCTTGCCCTTTCTTAAGGAAAGGGCAATCCTATTTATGCTAAAGGAGTGTAGTTCTCTCATTTTTCAAGACTTTCCATGACTTACCAGGCTTGGTAACTGTAGTCGACGTAAGAGAATCCCATAGAACCATCTCTTAGGTTCGTAGCCTATAGGAAGTAAAAGGAGGTCCAAGGTCAGAGTACCCCTATAGACAAATTATGTCATAGACAAATTATGTCATAACTTAACCAATCTTGTGGGTAACTAAAGAGCGATGACATGTAATGAATCATAGAGGTTTGTAGGAGCTTTTAGAGCTATCGTTCATGCTCCTAGGCCTCTAGTTGGTAGAGATATGTCATGTGGTAGTATGAGTGATGTCATGTAATGAATCATAGAGGGTTGTAGAGATATGCTATGTGGTAATATCGGCCCAGTAACTAAGGAGCGATGACGTGTAATGAATCATAGATGGTTGTAGCAATCGTTGAGTAGTATTGCTCTTGTTGTTGGTGTGATAAGCCAAAATATGTATAGTGACTTGTAGGTTTGAGGAGGAGATTTCCAAGTTTGCTCTTGAGTTTGATAGCAAACTGAGTGCAACGAATGTCAGTATGACATGATCCCTGACTAGACGCTTGCCAGAACTGAGCTTGACAAAGGCCGCAATTCGTTGTGGAGATCTTTGAATATATACTACAATATTATGAAGCTTTCCAAGAGGACCTTTCCGACACCAGCTCTCCATTTCAAGCTCAGAAGGGGTATCAGAACTGCCTTGATTGTTCTCTTGTGATAGGGCTTCTTCTTCAGTTGAAAAGAGAAAGGCCTGAGCAGTTAAATTGATAATATGACCATTACAACGAAGTCGGTGATGAATTGGATTGTATTCGAACTGTTCCTGTAGTACTAAACAATATAGTTAGTTATTGGTAATAGCTATTTCTAAGAGGAATAACTTGCAGGAAGAAAGCGCTCTCATCATAGTTTCATTGTTCTCAGCATTGTCCATCATAAAATAGACAACCTTCGAGGCAATTCCATACTCCTCAATAATTCTCATAATTAGTCTTGCCTGATTATCACCAGTATGTCGTCCTTCCAATTCTCTCAAAGCTAGAACTGACTGTCAGAGGTCTCCATTATCTGCAAAGTAGTGACCAATTATACCGAGAAGCGCTTTAGAGTTGGTAGAGGTCCATAGATCAACTGTGAAATGATTCTTAGACTGCGCAGATTGAAGACCTTGTTGTATACGTTGCCTCTCCGATTCGTAGGCTGTGAGGGTCCAATTTTTGATAGTGTGGTGGTCTGTAGGCAGCCAGGAATTGATGCCGGGATTGAGGAAGAAGAGAAGGTCTCTAAATTCTGAATACTCTACCATTCGAAATGGAACTGAACAACGGGAGATCCATCGTACAAATAGCTGTTTGAGTGTTGCTGGGTTGATAGTAGTAGAGAAGAATCTAGACATCGACGCTTTTTCTGGTTCTCTTCTCCATGTCGAAAGGCAGATGCAATACTAAGTTGTTGAGAGATGGCACGTTGCTCTTTCTCCTCATCTGTGATGTTATGCTCTGTTTGTAGATGTCGTGCAATAAATGCTGTACCTCCAGATTCTCTATACTCTCATGAGCAGTATTGACATCGCCAGTAGACATATTTGCCTTGAGTATATATAGTATTTACTGGACCAGGCATATGCTTCCAAACAAATGAGGTACGAGGGCATTTCTTACTTCTAATTGACTCTGTCAACTGGGTGGATTGTTGAGTTGCAGAGGCAGGTATTGATACGTGAGATTCAACAAACATATCAGGATCTAACATTGAGGGAATAGTTGATTTTGGTACTAGTGAGGCCATATTTGTCATACTGACATTCGTTGCACTCAGTTTGCTATCAAACTCAAGAGCAAACTTAGAAATCTCCTCCTCAAACCTACAAGTCAACATACATATCTTGGCTTATCACATCAACAACAGAAGCAATACTACTCAACGATTGCTGCAAACTCTTCTACTACATCTGTTTATGCTACATACATCACGGCATATCATTTGGACACTCATTGAACAAGTTATTAAGAAAATCTCCTCCTTAAGGGGTGGGCCAATACTACCACATGGCATATCTCTACCAACTAGAGGCCTAGGAACATGAACGATAGCTCTAGAAGCTTCTACAACCCTCTATGATTCATTACACGTCATCAGTCCTTAGTTACCCACAAGACTTGGTTAAGTTATGACATAATTTGTCTATAGGTACTCTGACCTTGGACCTCCTTTTCACTTCCTATAGGCTAGGAACCCAAGAGATGGTTCTATGGGATTCTCTTACGTCGACTACAGTTACCAAGCCTGGTTAGTCATGGAAAGTCTTGGAAAATGAGAGAACTACACTCCTTTAGCATAAATAGGATTGCCCTTTCCTTAAGAAAGGGCAAGCAGACAATACAGTAAATCGACTAGCACATACTTCTACGTCTTTTCCAAGCTTCCAAGCATTGATCTTGTTATTCTCTGTTTTTGAAAAGTCAGTGAGGTGCTAACCTCTGACTTACCCCTGAGTTCTCAGACTCAACATTTGTTGCAACTTGTCTAAACCACTTCACCACATCATACACCTGATTGCTGCGTTGTGGAATAGTCTAAGCTACAACCCTTTGGCTCTGTTTCCTAAGACAGTGTGTTGTCTTAGTAAATTCATCCCTTCCTTGGGTGGCTAGATTCTCATATCTGGTGCACCCACCATTACACCTTGCCTGCTTCAAGCTTCAACTATTTCTATAGCAGCACTTCGATACTACAATGGAGGACGACCAAGCTCCTACAACTACTGCTGAACAGCAGATGCAACAACTGTTTGCCTTTATACAAACTATAGCAAACAAACTTGAGAATTTGGAAAACACCTTTCAAGCCAACACTTCAGCAACACAATCTTCAACTCAGACACATCATACAGAGCTTCCCACAGCTCCTCTGGCTATTTCGAGTACCCCAGGTGCACTTCCTAAAGTGCAAACACCAGATTTATACCATGGAGACAGGAGGAAGTTGAAGGGATTCCTTATGCAACTGGACATCTACTTCACCCTCAGGCCTCATCAGTTCACCTCAGACATTCAGAAGATCTATTTTGCTGCCAGCTACCTCCGTGGATCTGCATTCAACTTCTTTGAGCCATATCTTAGAAGACTTAGTGGCAACAACCAAAATACCACTACACCTTTGATTA